GGCGGACCATATGAGGTATTATTACATCCTCAAAGTAACAAGACAAATGCTCCTATTGAACCACAGGCTGTAGAACCTATGACCATAGAGCAACCAGTTGATGTAGGAGAACGTGATCCGATGGAACCACAAAATATTGAGGCACAACCTATTTGCACAGACACACAAGTTAGTGTGCAACATCCTGTTCCTGCCCAAAAACGAAATAATACAGAGCCAAGTATTCCTGTTAGTCAAATTGTAAATAAAGATAATGAAGGGCAATTGATTCGAAATAAAGAAGTTATCCATAGACCACGTTCAGATTTACAAGGCAGCATTGCTAAGGATAACGATGTTAGTGTCAACAATCAGTCTGATAGCGAAACAGAAGACTTAGTGCTTAGGCGTTCATCACGAATCAAAGCAAAAGTAGAAAAACAAACCCTTCCTAACTCAAGTAATCAACAAATTTCAATGAATAATGCAATTTTGGCAGAGTTTAGCAAGACACAGCTTTTATTCGCACAAATGTTAGCAGGACAATTTGAAAACAATTAAAGAAACTCTGATGTTATTGATGTTGCCGAGGACGACAACAGACAAAGCTGTGGAGTGTGTGAGAGCAGAATTTTATTTTTTTTTTTTCATTTTCTTTCCATTATTTTTATATGTATTATAGCTTACCTGACTGTTTCGTATAATTGGATTTTGATAATGTTGACGAGGACGACAACAGACAAAGCTGTGGAGTATGTAAGGTACAGGTTTTACCCGTATCCTTATACTGTACATTATATTACATGTTGAATTTTATTCATTTCCGTATGACTTTATTTTGGATTTCAGTTGTTTCTTTGTTTTTTAACTTGGGTTTCTTTGTTCATCACATTCACATTGACTTCTTGATAATTAATACCATGTTTATCTTGATCATGTTACGTAACGACTTCCGTAGACGCTTTGCTTAAGTGAGTGAGTAGCCCTGTGTTGCTCCACAAGAATAAGGAGTTCACATTATTAATTCTAGTTTTTATTATATAAATGTATTTTTGATAGAAATCCATAACAGCTTTATTTATTTCAACAAATAACTTGTTAGTAAAGAATGTAAATTAACTTTATACTATCACAATAAGAGTGTAAAGGATTGCTATTGTGCGGAGGCTCATTCCGTGGGTTATTGTAAATAGTATTAGCGCGTACAATTAAGAAAGTTCGTGGCACAACAAAGTCAGAAGCCACAGTCAAGACGTGCAAAATTAGTTGTCAAGAAAAAGTAAAGTATTTGTCTAGCTTATGCAAGGCAAGGCATTACAGTAAATCTGGTACAGTACTGTTGAAGACTCATGAAAGTTACATCTTAGCGTGAAGCTAATGAAAGCTTGACGTATGCTGGCATAGTGCCCGGTAAAGTTGGGGGGTTTTTCCAGTTATGCTTTGTTTGTCTTATGTTCTCATAATTCCTAGATCCTAGTTCCTATCCGAATAAATATAGCATTGAAATCAACATCATCTCTAGCTATTATTTCTCCTGTGCAAGATGTTACATATATAAGGAAGAGGAATTGATCGCCACAAAAAATGATATAATTACGCCAAGATATTTGTAAGATTCTGTTTCTGTCATATAACCCTCCCCTAATTTTCATTTCTTTTCTTTATCAACACGTTTTCCCGTCAGATTGCTCTGCTCCTCGATTAACCCTCGCATACTAAAATTATTATTCCTTTTAACTCGAAGGCTCTATTGAATACAGCACATGCTTATCAAACTGATGCTACCCATTATCAACTACACTTTCTTTTTATTTTAAGTTTTTCTTTGTTTATTAGATACCGTATTTATTTGAATAAAAGCCCCGCTTTGGATAAACGTCCCCTTTGGAATAAACTCCCCCTAAAAGACAGTACAGTAAACAAATCTAATGGAAGAAGTATCATTTTCAACACTTTCTAATTACGTTCTATTCCATTACACATTTTTTCCAACCTGGTTTGTATCAACAAGTCTTTATGACCACGCAATGACACATTTTCACGGTAATCATGTGTTCCCCATTTGTAATAAATTTGAGTATCGTATGTATTTTTACCGAAACAAATAACCGCCTTTCTCGAATAAACGCCTCCTTCAAATAAACGCACCATCAAAAACCCTTCTTAACAATAGACGCCCCGGGCGTTTATTCGACTAAATATGGCCTATATCCCTACCCTGGTACACAGTCTGTGGGGTTTTCTCTTAATGATTTTATATTATTGAATGAATGATGAGAAGTTTGAGAATATTAGAGGGGATAGTGGGTCAGATAAGGCATATTGTATGCAAGGTACAGAAGGTGCCTGAAAAGTATAAATTTAATAATAATAACAAATGTACAGTATTTACTTGTTACATTCCTTGCCTTTTGCTTTAATTTTTCTATCTTTTTTTCTGTTTGCAAACCGATTATATACATTCATAGGGGTAATTTTATTTATTTTATTTTAATTTGTTTATTCGACCATAAAAAAAGAACAACAACGAAAACGATGGTAAGGGACAGCTAAAGCTAATCAATTACTGTAACAAAGAGTCAGCTGACACTTAAATATGAAGTAACATAAATATTGCACACAATAGAAACTGATATCAAAATATATGAAAAGCCCTAAACAATTTAAAGAATTAATAATTATTCAATATTGCAAATTAAGAGCGTTTCTTAAATATTACAAAAATAAATGAGATTAATTAATTAAGGAATTTATTGAATTATTAGGGTTTATGTACAGAAAAGATTAAAAAAAAGAATTATAAATTAAAATGCATATTTACAGTTTTAATTGGATATTACAAAAATATATTAGGATTAATTTACAATATGAATTACTTTGCATATTTAAAATTACAAAAAAATAAATCAAATAAAAACAAGCAGTTGTAATCACTTTATTCTCGACGTCTTCTGTTAAAATCAAATTAATACAATGTAGGATGTGTTAATTATTTTCTTGTTTACAAATTGCGTTCAGAGAGATTAACAGTCTTGAATATAAGGCAGAGGGACTAAGCTTGATTTTTTTCCATGAAATATGATTAGGAAGCTGATCATCATTTAAAAATTAATAATGTTACCCCTCAGATTCGCATTGTATATTACTGTAGTATGTATGTGTACATGTCTAAAGTCTAAAGTCCAACAATTAAAACTATGCAACTTACAAGATTAGAATTATTATTCAGCCATCATTACAGTATAACTTTGTTTAAACATGGAAGAAAATAGGTTGTTTTAGGTAATGGGTTCGGATCCTAATGTGGAAATTTTTTTTTAATAACATTTATATTTATATACTACCGATTGAGGTGTTTTTCGATACCAAGTTTTGTGTCTAAACTTATCTATATTTGTATTGTATTGTACTGATTTAAAAAGCTCAAGATATAGTGCATACCAGTTGGTCTCTTAGTTTAGTGGAAAAACCAAATGATAATCAGTGGTCCTAGTTTGGAGAAACCACTTCCATGAGACCTGCTTTAAGAAGCTTTCTTAACACAGTGGTTAAAACCGAGCCGATTTATGGCAGAATCCTGCAATCTGCGGATGAGTTGGGACTCTTGATAGAAACAATACATTTTTCTCAAACACAAAAACAAAACAAAAAAAACAAAACAAAACAAATCAAAACAAAACAAAAACAGAGGTGTTTCATCATACTTTAATACTTTTTAATTTAATTTCCAGTTACAGCATTGAATGATGCTCTATAAACTAAGTCTCTTTTATGAGCCTTGGGTGTTGAGTTGTGCTTTAGTCATAAAGAAAACATTCATGGCATCACAGGATTCGAACTCACACTCCTTGGGATTGAAAAGCAAGGATCCACTTGGTCAGGCCGTAACTATTTAAGTAACAAAGGGAATCGATTTACGATTTGAACGGTACCCATTGTGTGTACGGGAGACTGTAGTGTCACACCTAGAGGTCCACAAAATGTTGGTTTATATGATGTTGGGAAATATGTGTTCCAATATTTTTAGGGACATTTTTTTTTTATTAATTTCTGCCTCATGTAATTTGAATTAGAAAAATTGTGGGAAAATTTGACAGCACATTAGATTGCACGGAAATAATACAGAAACTAAGCCATGAGTACCAAATAGACAAATATGTTCATTTATATCATTTCATTGTTTCATAAGCTCAATGCAAGAATAAGGGATCTATTCCATGGGTGTGTACAGCCAAATACTGTATTATATACTAGGTCATTTATGTATTTAACGTTATTATTTTTAAAATGCCGAATGGCACGGCAGGGGTGGCAAGAGTGGGGAAGGTGGCCAACCAGGCCAAGGCTATCGGGGACGTCAGGAAAAGTCCCCCACCACCCGCCTGTTGTAGACATTTTGTCGGCAACCCCTTGACAACACACACTTCAGCTTTTGTCGGAGACATTTCACCATCATTTTTCTGGTTCTGGTGGGTAAAGCCGACCTCATAAGGACTCCAAAAGAGTCGGAGTATAACAGGAGGGGTAGAAATAGAAGAATAGGAAAGGTCCACCACCACAGTAAGCGAAAATTACACTTTCAAGAAAGGAGGCTAGAAAATGAGGATGTTAGAGTATACACGTTAAAAAAAAACAAGAAATTCAGAAAAAAATTACGTCTACAATATGTTGGACTTTTGGTGTTGAACTGCCTATTAACTTATAGCCTACATGATATTAATGTTGAGTAGGCGATTGATAACATGTTATGAGAATGAAATACAAACCTGTGCTCTATAATGTGTATAGTCCAAATGTTCTTTGTTTCTTTTTTTTTAACAGTAGTGATAATTTTTTTGTTATAACAGTAGTGACAAAATTATGATGACAATGACAACGAAAATACAGGAATAATTAACTACCATTACGAAACCAAATTTTATAAAATCAATCGATCACAACTTTAATTTCGGATGTACATATCCATATAACAAATAAAAATGCATACACAACTTACATAGTGCCTACAAGACAAATTAAACTTTTAACAGTAGTGATAATTTTTTTTTATAACAGTAGTGAAAAAATTATGATGACAATGAAAACGAAAATACAGGAATAATTAACTACCATTACGAAAACAAATTTTATAAAATCAATCGATCACAACTTTAAATTCGGATGTACATATCCATATAACAAATAAAAATGCATACACAACTTACATAGGGCCTACAAGACAAATTAAACTGTTGTATGTACAAATATATATATATATATATATATATATATATGTATATATAGGCCTATACAGCATTACTCATTGGTGAAATGCACTTTGTGCTCAGATCTTATCGATCTGCTAGACCTCAGGCACATTTTCTTCAGCTTTGTCAGGCAACCAGGTTGTTGAGACTCACATTTTACACACACAAAAAGCAGTATGATTATAGAAATTATACTCAAAACGATCAAAACAATTAGGCCTGTTTGATGGCATTGACATTGACAGACTGGCTCTGGGGCTTTATCATTATTATTATTATTGTTTGTTAGTGTTGATATGTTTAATATCAAGGAGCAGGTTTCTGAGGGCAAAATTGTATTTTCACAACTGATTGTTAAGCCATCATCTTTTTTCTTCGCTTGAAACGTGGATGTAATCCATGCGTATGTTTCATTGTAGCTTTTGTACACACTGGTGTGTGATTTCCCCTTAAATTTTAAGTTATCCGGGTTTTTTCTATCAGTGGTACAAGTAAATTCCACAATCTCACCCGCTTCATAAGCAGGCTTAGACGTTTTACACTCAAGATGATGATTGACTGTAAGCCAGGCATAACTTGAAAACAAATATCCATATTCTTCAATATGTACTTGGCACTGGTAATATCCTTCATCCGAGTGCCTCAAGTTATTTATTGTGAGAGTGATCTGTACTTGAGAATTGTTCATTGCGTAACGATTATCAGTTTCATCTATATATTCTTTGTCAACCTCTCCTCTGGTCCACTTTGTTTGAAGAATATTTAATCTAACATCAGTGTTTATAGTGACTGTGAGTACTACATCCATTCCTTCATATGCTGATATATTTTCTGGTCCTGTGATAAATACTGTGGAGGATAATAATTAATTGTAACAATTATAAATTCATATATATCAACAGCCACAGAGGCTGGTGTCCCATAATCTATATATCGACATTTTAAAGTTGCAAACAATGAAAAGAAAACATTATTGTTTTCAGATTATACTACCTTCTAGGATAAACAGGAAAAAATATTCTATTGGTTTGAACTATCCTAGTTTCTTTTTAATTTATTAAAAACAAACCTCCCAACACTAACCATTTTTGTTGGTGAGATGCTAATCAAATATACGATCCACCAGGGTCTTGACAGCCCCTCCCTAAAGCCCCTCCACTTCGTTCCGTGTCCCCCTCCCACCGTTGTCTGACACTGTAAAAATGTGACAAGCCTCTTAATTTTTCCACCACCTCCTACTTATTACATAACCTGGGTCTAATGGCACTAAATGCTTTGTCACCAGGAACACGTCTAGTGGTAGGAACAACTAGTCTCATGACATCAGCAGATGACCTTAATCCACTAGGACGGGAATCATTTCTGTGAAAAATGAGAATATGAGGACCATTCAAAGACAACGTCCCAGACCAGATCAAAAACTAATTAACTGATCTAAATTAAACTTTCGTGAAAGTTAAACTATTAACGTTTGGTGACTACCCAAATTGAATTGTATTTCTCCCTTTGTTATTGTTTTATGTTTGAGAGCCCCTTCAAGTCAGCATTGCTGTTTCGGGCTACCCTCTTCAGTATGGTTTAATAAATAAATAAATTTTCAACCAATACGATAAAAAGCGTTTCCGGTTGGCCGGGTTAGTATAATAACCGCCCGTGAATCCGACAACTTGGTTGTGATTTTAAAAAGCTTTTAAAAACCCATTTGTTCCGGAAAATTTAGGTTTGGTTTGTATTGGAATCTTTAACTTCATATTTGTAATCATTTTAGGTACTTTGTTTTATGATATTGCCGTTTTAAATTGAATGTTAATGATCTGCTTTACCTTTTACATGTGTATTGATAACTATGTTTTAATATGTACGGCGCTCTGGTCTCTTTTGGAAGGGTGCCTAATAAAGGATTATTATTATCCACACCCTACACCGGATCGTCACCAAAATTTAAATGATTCTTCATTGAAACATGACAAACTATCCTGGAAAGTGTCATTTAGATCCATTGATAGTTTTTTTTTTATAGATATTTTAGGTCTGGGACCTTCTTTAAATGACCCTCAAATTCACACCCGAATTTGGATCGTCACCAACATTAAATTATTTCTTCCTTGTAACCTGGTTAAACTTTCACAAAAGTTTCATTCAGATTAGTTGATTAGTTTTTGGACTAAATAGTCCTCATATCCACACCCTAATCCTGACCGTCACCAAAATTTAATCATTTCTTCATTGGGTCATACGTCTAACACTCCTTGTAACGTTCATTTTACACTTACACGACTAAAAACATATCTCCTGGCGAAGATAATAATTATTAATATAATGATTATGATCATCAATGATGGTGATGATGATGATGATAATGATGATGATGATGATGATGATGATGATTATGATGATTATGGTGATGATGAAAAGGGACTCCTTCTTAGTGGTTTTGAGATCATTGTCACTATCTATAGAGACCTACCTTCTGGGAAGATCTTTAAGGTCTTGTTGCACTGACTTCCATTAGACATTTCGCATTTTATGCGTGAATTGTTAAATGGTTTATCAGCTTTGAATTCTGCAGTAGCCCATCGGTGGGTTCCATTACTACAGTGGCAGGCAGTGTTAATCGGTTTTGAGGATGAAGTTGAATCCAATGGTCGATTAGTACCCCCATAATCAGAATAATATCCGTTCCTTGACGAATCTAAAACAATTGCCAAGAATTTCAATGTGTCTGGTGGTGACTTATTCTTCGTCATGCATGTCATATGTACCGTTTCACATAGGTTGTATATAGGCTTTGATATTTCACAGCTCGGATGTGGCTCCCCTGTTACTTCATTGACTGTCAACCACGCTTTGTCTGAAATAAATGTTTGTTCTCTTGTATCTATTTTGCACTGATAATATCCCTTGTCAGAGCGTTTCACTGTTTTAATTTCGAGAGTGAAGATTCTTGTCTTACTGTTATACTCCACAATGTGTTGATCATCTGCTTTGACGACCGTTTCATTTTTCATCCATTTTGTAACTGTAGGATCGTCATCTAAAATGCAGGTAAGTTGACCATCCTCTCCTTCATTTATTGTTATATTGAATGGACCAGACCTAATCAACGATTTATCATCTTTTGAAGAAGCTTGATATGTATAGGAGAACAGTAGTAAAACCGTAATGGAAGCAAAATACATACTTGCGTCTTTGCTTTCAATTTCTGTCACACTGTTGATTCAGTTTACAGTACTTGCAGCAACTTGCTGTTTTCGAAACCAGCAGCAAAATACATTGCCTCTGGATAAATATTGCTCGAGTAATAAAAATTGATAATAGAATAAAGGATGCATGCAACCGTGTAAATATTGCTTTTCTATGTTTAGGCCTACACCATGTCATTATTGTCTGTCTAAGACAGCCAGGGTGACCAGTGATGCAAATCAAATTATGCCGAGGCTGTTGGGAAATTATGCTGAAATATGCAAAATGTTAAATTTCGAATAAGCGCCCCCTGCATAAGCTCCAAATGTTCAATTTCGACAATTTCGAACAACCAAATGTTCAATTTGGTGGCATACTGTGTATGCTACTTCCAATGACGTGATTTATTTAGTATTGCAATTGTACACAAACATTTAAAAAATACTTCCTCAAATAACTACCCCTCAAAAACTTTCCTGAAATAAAGGATGGTATGGCAAGTAGACAGCAACGAAAAAAGGCGATAAACTTTAAATAGAAGAGGCAGTAATGAATTAAAGATTAGCAAAACAAAAAACATTTATTTTCTTTTGTTTTTTTTTTTTTTTTTTTTTTTTTTTTTTTGCAGCTGATATGGAACACGTACGGTTTGCATTGTAGTGATACACAGATAGGCATTACAGTCACTCTAAAAAGAAAGGGGGTCCTCCCCTTTGAAAATTGTGATTTCTTAGATGGCGGGAAATGAGCTTTCCAGACTTCTGAAAACGGTCAGTTAAACCAAACTTCCTCACTCTTATTACAGTAAATAGGCCTATTTATGTGTGTATATATCAGGGAGCAGTGAAATTACAGGGAACAGTGTACTTTCACTGTTCCCTGGTATGTAGGGCCTACATAAAATTGAGTAGGGGCCTATTCTTCTTTTCATGAACTGATGAACCCAAAGAAGATGGAGGGATTTTGAAAATTTCGATCCATAGATGGCAGAAAATTAGCTTTATTCTAGTAGGCCTATTATGTGTGTATATAAAGTGCATCGCATATACCGGTACATATTCTTCTTTCCATGAATTGATGAACCACAAAGAGGAAGGGACACCCACCCCAAAGGGGAAAAAAAACATCCGCCAATGTGAATTTCGAGAAATAACTCGGTCGGGGACTGCATAAACACTCTCTTTCCCCTCCCTCTTTCTTTTCTTACCCAGTCAGCAGCATGCTGACTGGGTTCTGATTCTGAGCAGTTTCTTTCTTTCTGGCAACATTTTAAAAGGCTACTAGTTGCAAACTACTGGACCGATTTTATTAAAACTTGGTCAGTAGGACCGGTGCCACCTCCCATTTATGTGTTGTTCACTACTTGGTGTCAAAGGTCACATAGGGGTCATTAAGGTAAAAAAAATTAAAAATGAATAAAAGACTTCTTCTGTCACAAATAACATGCACAGTCTTGTTCTTGGCACATGTGTATTAGCATAAGGTACGGTCTCTATGGTGTTCAGCGATTTAGGATCAAAGGTCATTAAAGGGTTAGGCCTATTCTTTTGTTCTATCTGATAACATTTTAAAATGCTACTAATGGCAAACGATTGGACCAAACTCAATCAAATTTGGTCATTAAGAACCAACAAAACCTCCTACACCCCAGTCTGGGATTAGGGCTCACATATGGGTCATCGGGGTAATTTTCAAAATAGCCCAAGTGAGCTCAAATTTACCAGGAATGATCCTTAGGACCTTCTAAACACAAAAAAAATACTCTTCATCTCATAGGTCAAAGTTCATAGGTCAAAGGTTCAACTTGTGACTAAGGCAAACGATTGAACGGAATTCAATCAAATTTGATAATTAATTAGAACCAGTGACATCTCTTACACCCCACCCTGGGATTAGGGGTTTCATAGGGGCCATCGGGGTCAAATTTTAAAAATAGCCCAATTGAGCTCGAATTTATCCTTCTAAACATGAAAAAATACTCTTCGCCTATAGGTCAAAAGTCACAAGGGTCATTTTGGTGAAAATTATTAAATATTGCTAGTGACTAACGATTGGACCATTGCATTAGACAGACTCCTACCATACATGAGGTTTTCACAGCTTGAGGTCAAAGGTCACAGTGGTCACCTTAGGGTCAAATCCTAAAAAATGACTGGGTTCATGTTCTATTGAACATAGTATCTCTAGTTGCATTTCTTTCCGATCATACAAAAATCTCCATATAGACATATATATTTTCAGCCACAAGGTGGGGATGGGGGGGGGGGGCAACGCATAACATTACAAAAACAAAATATGTAATTGCACAGACATAGTATATTTGAGCAGCAAAGCGAAACCACTGCAGTTGATATGACCAACTCCCAGATCAGTCTAGTAGTAGAGTATCAGCCCGAGTATCAGTATTTTAATTTAAAACTTAGTAGTCGGTAGTACACTACTCCCGGACGCATGCCTCCCGGACGGACCGAACGAACGCGAATTTCGCCTCCAGGGGACAGGACCGAACTTGATTGAGTACCTGGCCAAAACCATTTTCAATGTGTGGTTAAAAAAAATAAAACCACAGAAAGGCAGCGGCAGTGCACCCATAGCATAGGATTTATTGGATACTCAATCAATGGACGAATTCATTTGTATTATGTGGTATGGTATCCACGGTTATTGACGGCTGGTTTAATTCAGATTTAAAGTTTTTTTTTTCTGAGGTCAAAATTATGCTAAATTTTTCTAAAATTTTGCTAGCACATATGCTAGATGCTAAATGGGTCTAAATTATGCCAAAAAGCATAATTATGCTAGGTCTGGTCACTATGAAGGCAGCAGACAACTTAACCATATGGAACGCCGGGAGTGCCTTCATTCATTCATCACTGACGAAATGCATGCTGCAGTGACCAAATTTATGCTGCAATGACTATTTTCAAAATTTCCAGTGACCAATTTCATTCAGCAGTGACCAAATTCACTCAGCAGTGACCAAATTTATGCTGCAGTGATACTTGTTATGTGTTTTCCACGTGACAGGTTGTCTACGTTATATATATATATATACCGCAAAATAGTTTAGAGACGTATATCATGATTTATATTTATAAAACATCTCTTCGGAGATCTTTTGTCGTAAAAATTAAGAAGAGGGCCACATTGATCTCTGTTATTTGCTATGCATCAAAGACTAGTGTTGTCTAATTGCGCATGAATTACCTGCTTTAATCGGTTTTGAATCCCACCACAAGGCCTCAATGGCCTAGTTGGTTAAGGCGTCTGCTAGGCAGCAGAAGGTCCCGGTTCAGTATTTACCTCTGGAATTGAATTGAAAACAAAGAAAAAACAATTAAATTAAAGTATTACTTTTTAATTGTGACATAAATTTGAGCTTGAAACATTATTAGATTGATGGGTGTAGTGCCATCATCAAATGCCCAAAATTACCGGCAATCATCAATATTACCCTAAAACGCTGGTATTCAAACTTTTAAGTTGGTGGAGTTCCCATCAAGTGGCGGATCCAGGAAGTCGAAATAGAGGGGCTCCAGGGAAGGACTTTTACAAATACTGGTAAATACCACCTGGTTGGGGCTGAGGTAAGCACATTTTATAATTATGACATCTAGATAGACGGAAACGGCACTCTCAGACTTTGGAGTATATATAACATTTTTTTTTTTCCTTAATTTTTATAATTTTAAAAATGTTGCGGGGCCCGGGCCGGCTGTCCCTCCCCCTCTTGAATTCGCCATTGCAATCTGTTGAGATCAGCTGTGGGCCAACATAGCTTGTGTAGGCCTACTTTCATTTTTTTTTTTCAGCCCCACCCAACTGTGATGGACCTTGTTATAGAAAAATGAGAGAATGCAGTAGCATGGGAAATGGAGGAGGATAAAACTAACTTCATCCCAGGATCTCTACCCTTATACTAGACATTTTTAGAGCACAAAAAATACACTCATGTACTAGTAGTTAAAAACAATGCTATCGCCAGAAATTCCCTGATGAACAGTCCGATAATCTCCAAAGGGGTCCACATTACCTCGCCCTATCCAGCCAACATTTAATATAAAATTTTAAATTTTTTTTTTACCCCCCAACGAATCTCTCCTAACTCCTGTCTCTTATACACATCTAGATGTGTATAAGAGACAGAGCATAATGCCTCAGTCGGGTGTCTAGAAAACAAAAATTTCATGTGGCATACATCGCCCCTAGGGTAGTGTTATCTCAATCTGCCCAATTTTCCCCCTTGTCTTAGACATCTTTGGATCTCCCCTTGCAACTTCCCCGACGGGGAGAGCCTCCCAACAGGGAATGGGAAGCCTCCCGACGCGGGATGTATCCCTTCGACCCACTCCCCATCCCCCCGTCGGGGAGAAAAGCCACAATTTGTCAATTTTAATCTTTCAGTAAATAAAATTGTATAGGCTAGGCCTACATTCTGAGTCCACTTTGAATGTGAACGATTTCCGATTGCTGGAAGCTGCGTACACGTACACCCATCGCATACTCGTCTCATGGATACAATGCACAATTTGTCTGTATACAGCAGGTCTATTTTGTAAATACCTTACAGATACAATGTAGTTTGAGGCCTTGTGTTCATTTTGTCGATGTAGCCCCAGGGCCATATGAAGCAAATTATTTCCCCCCACCCCACCCCACCCCTCCTCCAACTTTATCCCACAGAGCGTTATTTAAGGCGCCAGATGTAACTTCCAATAATATAGGCCCTACGTACGTCTGTAACGATTCGATCGTTACAAACATTACGTATATTATGGTTTACTTACAAGAATTGTCCATGTTCCAATTAGAGGGCTTGCTTTGTCGTTAAACCATGTTTAAACGATTGATCATTATTTGATTCTGAATAAGTGGTCTCGAATTCGAGACCCCTCTAATTCGAGACCATTTTTACAGAACCATATAAATGATAAATCAAAGCTTCCATCTAATTACAGACCGAACCCCAAGTCCTAGGTCCCAGAGTGGTCTCGATTTGAGTATACAAGGAAATGTAATTTGTTTTCTTATTGTACAACGTAGGTGCGGTACATTTTCTTTTGAAAAAGACACGTCAAGTCTGCAAATTAATGAAAAGATTGTGAAATTTCTATATAAGTACAATCATTCTTTAAAATGGACTGTATATAAAAGTCGAAAAGTTTACAAATATCCCCTTTTCACTTGTCTGGTTGTCAATTTCATATAAATATTACTTTAAAATATCCTTTCTGTGAGGTTGTGTTTTCTGAGTCAGGCCCTACTGTAATTTAAAAACGATACAATAGGCCTATTCGCACATCAGGCCTTATCTCATAGATAGCCGTTAACACTGTTAAATTATATATAAATAATAAAGAAAGGTAAATACAATGTTCGAATAAAGGACATGATAATACATTGTTAAGCATGGCTCTCAACGAATGTTGTCCTATAAATAAATGAATAAAGAAATTGTATAATAAAATTCCTCTGACGAGATTCGAACCTGCTGTCAAGTCGAGCGTCATAACCATTAGACCACAGAGGCTTTATGCATAGAGAATAATTTTCTCTATGCTTTATGGTAGAACAGATTTAGGTTACCGCCAGATACACTCTATTACACAAAAAGTACGGCGGGAAAAAATAGTTGCATAGTACTTAATGTGTAATAGAGTATCTGGCAGTAATTTGAATCTGTCTGTATAGGTCTATTCTGTAAATACCTTATTTTTTAAATACCTTATGATGACATAATTAATGTTGAAATATTGAATCCCAACACTATGGCCTGCATTTCAATACTTGGAATATGTATTATACTTTCTTATCTGAGATTAATCAGTGGACCTTTCGGTTTTTACAATAGTAGTGTAAGGCCAATTGTGTTCATACAAATTCAGATTATCGCCAGATACACTCTATTACACAATAAGTACGGCGGGAAAAAATAGTTGCATATAAAGTATTGTGTAATAGAGTAGGCCTATCTGAATCTGATCATGAAGCCTCCATGGTTTAATGGTTCGCAACAAAAAAATAATAAATTATGACGTCATCCGTTAACGTCGTGCGGCGAAAACTACATATAACGAAAAATCTTGGATACCCTCCCCAGAACCCATTGGTGAATAAGCCAATCATTTCGTTGAGGAACACCACTTTGAAAAGCATTTTAAAGGCTCAGAGTGCCATTTCCAGGCATGAAGTTGTGTTATTGCATAGTAATATACATAATAGTCACTAACATTAAAATGTAATGTTATTAGAATAAAGAAAAATTTTTATGTCTTTGTTGTTCGACCTATCTTAATATACCTGTATTAGAAACTGATAATGAAAGCAAGACCGAAATAATTACAAGTTACTATTACCAAATTAAATATACGTCCTGTTTTTTAAATCATATAACAACATGTCACATATCTATTATACTGTATATGATTGTTCAATGTACCATTTGTTCATAATTATTATAAACTTGTATACTCTGTTCTTAGGAATAGGCCTACTATACTCACTACATCTCAGAACTGATCACACTCTGTTCAGCTAATGCAAAAGGACATTAAAGTTCACTACATCTACAACCCTTCATGTGCCTACTTTTCATCTGACGACTTATGTAGGGAAAGGTCCTTACAGTCGTTGAACCCAATCTCTGGAATTCACGTCCCCAATCCGTTCAAGAGTCTCCTAATTTGATGATCTTTAAGCGCCATCTTAAATCATTCTTATTTGACAAGCTCTAATTTTCCTCTACTCTCCTCTTTTTTTCTTTTCACTTTTCTTTATTTGTGATGCGTTTCTTTTCTACCAGTTTCTTTTTCTGTTTTTAACCATTTATTCATATTTCTTTTTCTTTTCTGTTGTTTCGGAAAGTGCATAGTGACAAATGTTGTATGCATTATACAAGTGCACAACCATCAACAGAAGAATATGGCAGCTTCGTTTTGAGAAGAAATTACTGTATTTAAATTTATGAATATCTTCTTAATTAGTAAAACTGTAAATATTAATCATTCATGTCATGATTATCACTAAAAATATTCTGGTTTATTATGCCTTAATTTGTCAACATTAACTTTAAAAATGGTGCATTCTAAATGGCTCAACAATTCCATCAAAGTTGGCAAATGTTTAAAGCATTTTTATTATTTAGACAATGCATTCCTTTTAATTTTATAATATAAATACTAAAGTTAAAAAAATATTATTACTAATAGTAGTAATAATAATTAAAATAAAAATAAATAGTAATATAAATACAATAATTCATGCTTTGGTTTTAAAACTGTATGAAGAAATATGTTTGAAACATTCAAGAAATTATGAGCACCAGTTTCACAGTACTTTAAATTTTAAAGATACCAAAGTATAAATTTGTAATTAAAAAAAATCTAAATTTTACAGCTGGAAAACTTTAACATAAACACCCACCCCTAAAGCCAGGCACACACTGAGTTGATGGTCGGCCAACGAATCCATCTGTACTTTGAGTGAGCGTAATGAGAAGATGTCTGCTGATTACTATTGGGCCAACAAGTTCATCCACACATTGAGCATGCGCTTGACATTGTTGGTCACATGGCCAGTCTCATGGGGTTGCACTGACAGACTGCCAGTCGAGACATTGTGCACCTGGATTTAAGTACTGTATTACCAAATCCAACGTTGCTACCAATTAACCAGTTAATACTGTTGTGTGCATTCACTGTACACTGTGGCTAATGCTTTTGATGAGTTCATAGTGAGGTTATATTAATAAAAACATAATTTTAAGTATAAACGAACAATGAGCTTTTGATTCTGACACTGTGTAGTCTACTCCATCATCTTCATTTTTGCCTCATCAGCTTCTGTCAAACTTCATCATTCTTTTAATGTAAATTTCATTTCAGCATCCTCAGGTACAGTCAATCAAATGCAGGAAGAAATCTAGCCTGGGTTCCAGGCCTAATTTGGGGTTACTCACTCTCTATTGCGGTTAGTGCGCTCCATACCTAATTTAATTGGCGTACCATACTCGACTATTTTTTTTTTCAGAAGAAATCCTGAACATGTTGTCTCAAGAGGTTACTGCTTGTTTTCTATGTTAATCCACATGCATAAAAAACAGTAAACATCCCAAGAATTATGTCCTACTTCCGATTATAAAAATTCCTCTATAAAATATACATTTGTTAGTTCTCCAGTAACGACCTAACATGGCCTACAAATCTGTGATCCTCATCTTTCATTGAACTTCCGTGAACTTCAAGGGAAAGTGGTACTGGCATAATAGATGTCGGTAATGAAGTCTCGACCACACCAAGTTGGTTGTCAGCATTCTTTTGTGAAGAGTTTGTGTTGATCTGGGAGAAAAAGTCTGTGTTTGTCGGGAGGTTGCTGGTGCCAGCCATATTTTCTGCGTTGGATGCATTGGGTGAGAGTTGATCATGGCCAAGATCATCAACGGAATCCAGGGATTCTACGTCACCTGATGCATCTGATGTCTGGCCGTTTGCTATTTCTGCAACAAAATAAACAATAGGAATCAGTAAAATGCTTGTTAATGACAATTACAAAATGTTGAAGACCTTTGCTTTTGTTATTAGATTCAAGACTCCAGATTCATTTCATATGGTCATACATAAAAACATTTTATATTTGTTTTCATGGGTAGAAAAATATTAAAATATTATTTTAATTATATGACATTATAGACTTGCACATAACTCTAAAAATTCTATCTATATATCTATCTTTGTTTGGGAAAGGAATAAGACTTTTTATGTCAATTTGCATGTGATTATAATACAGTTGACCTTGCCTAAGTCAAATCCAAAATGCCACTAAAATATTGTTTGATTAATGGAAAGCACAACAATTTGGCTGTAAAATTAGATCGACTTCGAAATTATTCAACTTGTGCAAAGTTGACTTCGGTAAGTTTAACTGTACTTCTATACAATTTACCGTTCATTTGAACTCAAAGGTTGTACTGAATACAGTATGGACATGCTGATTAAACTGATACTAAACATTATCAACTACTTTTTTTAATTTGAAGTTTTTCTTTAATGCTTTCATTGGATATACTCTATCCCTAAGTACAGTATCACCATATCCTGGCGCAGTCTCTGGGTTTTTGTCATAATTGTTTCGTATGTTTTATCTTTTGGTATTTTAAAGTTTCATTATAATTGTTGTCCCTGTGTTGCATATTAATTTTATTTTTAAATTGTTGTTCCCTGTTTTTGAATGCAATATTTTGTTCTAAAACTATGGAATTTTATTATTATTCTTGCAATTTTAATGATTTTAACTATGGATTATTTTAAAATGTTCTCATATTAATATTACATTGCAGTTTGGATTTTATATATTTCTATTTGAATTGTCTTGAAAGAGGGCCTCTTAAAGTCAGCATTGTTGTTAGAACCACCCTCTCAACAGATTACTGAATAAATAAATAAATAAATAAATAAATAAATATGTATTGAAACAAAATGATGAAAGTTTGAGAATACAGTATTCGAGGGGAATATTGGGTCTGATAAGACAAACTGTATGTAAGTTACAGAAGGTGCCTGATAATAATATTAACAAATGTATTTATTTGTTACATTCCTTACCTCTTGCTTTCCGTTTTCTATCTTTCCTTCTGTTTGCAAACCAATTATATACATTCATAGGGGTGATCACTCTATGTTCGCCACATATATCCTCTGTTGAAATAAAACGAGACACAATGTAATATGTTATTTGTTATATATGTGCAAGTCAAATGGCCGAGTGGTTAAGGCAGGGGCGTTGCAACGTACAGCCACAATATCGGCGCTGGTTCGAACGGCACGTTCTCCTATGGTTCTGTATGTGGAAAGTCTTCTCGGATAAGGACTATAAACCGAAACCCAGTGTACACAAGCAGAAGCCCCACCTGACAGCTGAGAGCCCAAAACACAACTGCCACACCAACCATTCCTACTAATGGTCATGTATTAAAACAATTGTGCTTGTGTCCTCATTTTAAAATAAACTTACCTGACATAATTTTTTATTGGTTTTTTAAAAATGAAAATACTGAAACCATTTTAACACCCTTTTTTCAACTATGCTTAAGTCATGCAAATAGCTTAATGTTGTGATTGCACCACCCCTTATACTGCAGGTGTTCATCCACTTTGTGCTTTAAAAAAATTCCAATGTCTCAGTTCTAGACATTTTTAAAAAGGACAACGATCAACTTTTAATTATATAGTCTAACCCTGGTATTCTTAAAACAAACTTTAGTCGTGGTTCAAGTTAAAACTTAAAAATTACGTCATTTCGTATTCTTAAAACGGACTTCGACTAGCACTATGACTAAATGACGCGAACCTCGACTAAAATGATACCTCGCAGTCCGAATTTTTTAGTCAGCCTAGGGTCAGGCTAAATCGCCGACTTGAAATATTTACCCCACTAAAAACGTGTTTTTGTAACTCACAAGAAAGTGAAACGAATAAAAACGATTGTATACGCAGGTTTGATATAACTTCATTTTGTTAAACAAAAGAGACATCAAGTTTAGCTTCCAAAAGGAAAAATTAACATGTTTTGCTAGCCGTATGCGGTAGTTCCTGATTTGCACGTAATCCCCTCGCGTTGCAATCACCTATCTTCAACATAACAACAACAAAGATGGCGCCACCCTTGCTCGGGCTCAACTATAATAGCTCTCCAAAGAAAGCAAATTTTCAGTGAATGTTCAAATTCTTTATCGTAATATGTTAACAACTAATATAGTTATTTATTGAAAAAAATTATTTAAGCGAATGATGGTCTATTATGGATTATGAGGAAATAAGTTTTTGACCCACAGATGGCAGCTTAATATTCATCTGCGTTACCGGATCTCTAAAATTTCGTCTGCTATTAAAGTTAGCTCTTTTCATTGGTTAGTTTGGTAGTCGTGGCTTGCCAGTCGTCTTCAGTTGAAGACTAGGACTTGATTTAGTCGTAGTTAAAACTTTGACTACGTTGTTTGTGAATACAAACTGAAGTTGAAGTTGCAACTAGCACTAAATTAAGTTCTAGTTCGAAGTTCGACTAAAGTTTGTTTTAAGAATACGGGCGTTAGTACAAGCAACTTTTGATGCATACCTATTTAATGCTTTTGATGTATTGATGAGAATTTGGTATTATCAGATTAAAGTATATATGTCTAAATGCCAAATATTATATTATGATGCATAGTTTGGGGTATGCGGACTGCAGCAGCCTTAGGGTTTCAATGATCTTACCGTACCCTATAACAACTCCCAGCTGTACACCATAATGCATAGTTTGGGGTATGTGGGCTGTGTTCTTTTTCAGTAAACTACTGTGTGTTGTTTATCAAATGTAACAGTTTATCGTACCTATACCAGCACTTAAACTGTTGAGAGTATCCGCCATGCTACGCACTTCATTCATGCTTGGGTAGGCATTCTCCTTTCGGTATGTTTCCAGGATTTGTAGTTCCTTCTCAGACCAGTGAAGTCTATCACGTCGGCTAAAAACCGGTCTCGCTTGCCCTGATGAAATCAAAGATAATTGCTTATCAGAAAAAATAGGCCTAAAGGAATAAGATATCAAGGGGCATTCATTGTTTAATTATCTTACTACTCTTTTTGATATAAATAGCAGTCAAAATCTTGTGTTCCATCTAGTTGTTGCAACAGTGATAAAGTAGGGCACTGAGGTAAAAGTTGGGATATAAATAAAGCATTGAGTGAGACTTTTTTTATTCCTTGTTTTTCCATTTTTTCGTGGTGGCGGGTGCGCTAATTGGCCAAAAATAATATTTTTTATTTTTATTCGAAATCATTAATATTTGCTGGCGGGTTCGCTAAACAAGGTATAAAAAAAGTCTTGCCTTAATGTAATAAGATGTGAATAAGCGTAAGAGTAGAAGAAATTATATGATGCTCACTGTTCTAATCACTGCAGATACCTTTGGTTTAATTATTATTGAAAATGTCATATTATCTAATGCTACTGTACATCAGATTGATAAATATATTTGCAATCACTGCTGTAATACAAATTAATACAAACTGAACAGTATGTCATGCAACAAAGTTGCAGTTAGTTACTATTTAGAAAACCATGGTAAATAAGGAACAAAGAACAACAAAAAAATTATAATGTAGTGTACCACCACCTTCCCCCCTTCCCCCATCGGACAGACCTGGGCCACCCTTCTCCATCATACGACGCCACTAAGTATAAGGGTTTCTTACCTTCAGTCCTATTTTGTTGAGACTGATTCCCCCTGTTTGATAAATAGTACCAAGAATAAAGAAGTTTAATGGCATTCTTCGTTAGGCCTCTACCATTTAAAAGATAGTGCGACAGAATTCCCTTTTGGATACCAAGTTCTTTGGCGAGCCAGTTCTGAGATATGTCATGACCTAATACAAACATTTTGATGTCCTCCCACAGTTTGTTTGGATCATGGCTGTGTAGAAAAAGCAAAAAGAGAAACAAACTGTTAAGCATACAGATCAGGAAAAAGGGCCTACTTAACTTATGTGCTTATTTCCTGTAGTGTCTCTTCAGGCTTGGTCATCTTGCATTACATTGGTATCAGCAGTAAACACCTCCGTCAGGATTTTCCTCCTTAAATAAACATCCTACATGGCCGAAACATTGTATTGGAAGCATAATTACTGTCCATTTACTAATTTCAATTCACTTAGTGTCCATAGGCAAGATACTCCAACTAGGCCAGATAGATTTTGCTGATTTAGAAACATTTTACTACAAAAATCATTAACAGCCAATTTAAAAGTCTTAATACGGGAAAGGTATTTTTATAACTGTATGTTAAATGATGGGGATTTTTTTCTCTTTCAAATTTTGAATTTTAAGGGAATAGCGCACTTAAATACATAAATTAAAGGAACTGAAATTTTCTTGGTTATAGAGCATTAAGTATTCCAGATGCATAGCTAGATTGAACGTTCACCATTATTAAATGTGTAAAAACACAGAAAAAATTAAAATTAAAATTAATAATATAAAAATGATAATAATAATAATAATAATAATAATAATAATAATAATAATAATAATAATAATAATTGTTAATATGATATACTGGTAAAATGAAAACAAACCCAACCTTATTAGTCTGTGAAATTCCGCTTCAGCCTCCAAATCCATAACCGGCTCTTGACCTGACACTCTAGTGTTCATTAAATACACACTTGATGGTATCTGACCTGATTCAGAACTTCTTTGACTATGTGCAGCAAGTGCAGAGTTCTGCTGCTGCACTACAGAACTTGGTATCGAGACAGGGCTCTGTGATGCAGACCTGTGCAATGAACTCTGGTGAGAGTAAGCTGAACTGGAAACAGACTGGTTTTCATTTGTTCCGGAATATACTCTTGGTACTGTGTGGACATCCTTAATCTGGATCCGTTTCTCTGGTGATGGTCCAAGGTCATTGTCCAGCTTCTCCATCGCAGATATAGCTGCGACCATCTCTTCTTTTGTCATTCCGGTAGCACGTAACCGACGTAACAATTCATATTGTTCAATCGTGTAGCGTGGCTGTGCCCCAGACATCCTTTCATCTGATCTTACTAAGTTCAGAAGTGAATTAAAGACATTAAAAGGTTGTAAGATTTTTGTTAGGCAGTGCCAAGGGTTTCAGTGATACTGTACTGTAATGGACAAAAAAGAACAGATGAAATATTAATGTAGTAATCCATGGTGATTAAGTTATTTTTACAACAACTAAAGAAAATACTAATAAATATATTTAGGAATGGATGGGCAATATACTAGTATAGCCAAACAATTAATAGGAATTAATTACTAACACTAAGATAGCGAGACCTTCAAGTTATGGTTAAAGTAGTGTTAGGGTGGAGTACTAACTAAAGTACATTTAGTGCACCATTGATCAAAATGAAGTTTTGGAGTGTTGAACTTGTATATCGGTCTGTAAATGACTATCAATCCCTAGTGGTCGTAGTATGTTAAAAGGGCAATTACCAGTAAAATTGGTATAATAAAAGTGCTACTACAAAACTAGGGCCAAGCCTAGCCTATGGGAATGGCATCATGTTTCGGTCACAAACCAGTTCGGTCGTTTGTCTTACTATTAAAATATAGACTATACTTACTTTACAAACAAATAGACTTATGATACCAGTTACCACTGAGAATTTTAAAGTTTGTTAAACTTAGAATTAAGCTTGTTTCTTATAATTATTATCAGTAGGATACTGTATTCATTAGTTTAGACATTCAATTATTCGAATTGAGTGAAAACACAATACAAAATGTATTTCATATTTGCGGCCGAAATAAGGGCGTTGACCCGTGGTTGAAAGTGGGAGGGACGAATTGCAAAAAAGAGAAGTCTTGGGCCGCAGACCCAAGCCTTGGCTGCGGGCAAGAAGGGCCGTCTAGCTCTGGCAATTATACTGTAGCCTATAAGTCATACCAAATTGATTTTAAGGAATGCATTTAACATTTATTCCCACATTACATTTTCAATATACAGTGGCCGATCCAGGAATTCAAAATAGAGGGGGCCTAGGAAGGGAATTTTACAGATGGAATGCAGACCACCTCAGCCCTACCATGGTTTGGGCTGAGGCAAGAAAATTTATGATTATGGCACCTCTAGTTGGCTGGAAATGGCTTAATTTGAATATGATTTTCTCTTTTCTCCACTTTTTTTTAATAAAAAAAAAACACATAGGGAGGATGGGCTGGCCGGGCCCCCTTGAATCTGTACTAAAATACTCATCATAAAAAGTTTTTTAATTTATACTGGTAATCATAATCATGACTGCTTATATATTTTGTGCAGACTATTTATAAAACTAATGATTCATTATCTACTAATTAGCTTGTGACATATTCGAACCATGAAAAACAAATAAAATAAACTTAAATATATAGAAATTGATAGACTTTTCCATGTCAAGGGCTGTATAATTATTGTTTATTAACGGCTATATAAAATTCAATTGACTAACTATAATTATTTGTAATTAATAGGAAAAAAACAGGAATATATATGGGAACACTAAGTATATACAGGTCTTAATAGTATACAAAAGAAATAAATTGTTTATAAAATTGTGCAGTTTTGAGTTTGTAAAAATGTTGGCCTAATAAGTTTACACGCTTCCAATTTTAACAACGTACAGTACATTTTCACATTAAATTTAGCCTCTGATAACTGCTGCACCCATAAAATTGATGGAATGGATACTGAGATGGTTATGAAATGTACAAACAATTGGGTTTTTACTTTTGGTCCGGAAATATGCACCACACTTAGAACAGAGCAAAAGTGGACAGACAAAATTCATGACATTCGTAATTGTTGTTCTTGCCACTCGTTTTGAGAAGTGGGATTATAATAGAAGATTGATGAAAAGTGGGGGACAATTGATATGATGTCCCCCTACTTTGAAAAGTGGAGGAGACGTGTCCCCACTGTCACCCACCTATCGACGCCCATTGGCCGAAAAGGTCCTACACTACACAACTACCAATACCACTACAGTACCACTACAACTACTATACTACTACTACTAGGCCTAGCACTTACACCTAAGACTGGCATAGCCTATATGACTGTGTAGGTGAACTTCATGTCCGAAAACTTCGGGCCTAGCATTGAATCATTTGTAATTATATTTTCTAGGAATTCCGGTACCGATAATAAAAAACCAACGTGTAAACAAAATTACCATCTACTTCATCCTTAAGTCAAACGTCACTTTGCTGTCTAAAACCTTTCATTTCTACAAAAATTAAAAAAACAACAAACAACATCTCCAGCTCGTTGATGGTGGCCACATTAATGAATAATTATAATCCAGACGCCCAAGTGCATGTTTTGAAATAGCGCCACCCCGAATCTTGTTGAGTATCAAAATCAAGACCAAAATACAGTATCGAACGAACGGGCAAAATGCATACAGTGTGTAATAAACAATGGTAAAATAAAAGATAGACTGTCAGGGGCGGATCCAGAAATGTCCAAAAGGAGGGGCCGGAAGGGGGGCCGAAAGTTGGGCCGATTGACACAACACTGTCGTAGGGGGTCCGGGGGCATGCCCCCGCGAAATTTTTGTGTTCTAGACGCCCAAACATAACATTTGAGGCATTCTTGGCCATGAGGCGTTCTAGGCTATCATTTTGTTTCTTTTTCTTTCTTTTTTTCTTTCTTTTTTCTTTTTTTACAAGGGGGGGGGGGGGCCGGGGCTGGGCCGCCCCCCCCCCTAAATCCGCCCCTGCATCTGACCCCATACTCTCTCATTACTAAAATTTGAATACTTTCCTAGTTTGCGAAGAGGCCTAAAAATGGCCTAACTTGTGCATTATTTCTGAATCTAGATGCATAATAGACGGTAATAATTTGCATTTATCTATGTTTACACGTTTCTTGTCCGACTCCATCAATACCAATTTTAGTGGGAAGAACAAAATGAGATCGAATGTATAGGAAACTTGCATGGTTAAAAAGAAGGGCACCGCCTACGTTGGGCACGACTTCCGCCTCATTTTTACAATTCGAGAACTCTATCTTGTATTTCTAGTATCTTTGTTATAATCCAGACGCCCAAGTGCATGTTTTGAAATAGCGCCACCCCAAATCTTGTTGAGTATCAAAATCAAGACCAAAATACAGTATCGAACGAACGGGCAAAATGCATACAGTGTGTAATAAACAATGGTAAAATAAAAGATAGACTGTGGTTAAAGAAGTCGGCTAAATAATATGAGACACAGTGGTCCCTAATGTAGGTCTGCTAATACTATTACAATGGATAGGTGTGCTTTTGTACAGTACCGGTATTTAATCAACAATTTTTGTTTATTATATAATAATATGGAAGTCTCATTTTTTGTTTTGTTTTCTGAGAGCTGTGTTATTTCTTCTTATTATTAAATAAAGTTTTTTCTAAGTCTATAAATAGTAACGCATGTAATCATGTTACGGTATACATTTCATGCTATACTATGAAAATCTGTTGCACAAAAGAGATAATGCCTAAAACTTATTGTGGTATAATGCTATATACATAGGCCTATGGGTCGCAAACGGTAAAGAAAAAAAAAGATAATTCCTAAAGTGCTGTTATTTAGTCCAGATACTGCTTGAAAATAGAAACAAAAATTATTTAAAAGCGTTAGGGTTTATAACAAATAGTAAAGACCAACCAAGGAGTTGAGATTAATCATGTAGTGCTACATGCTTCATTCACTGGTTATCGGCTTATCACCTATCTGAAAGGGGTAAAATTGTGGAATTTAGGATACTACTATCCAGACCTTGGCTTACCTCAATTCAATAAACTTCCAGGTTATGTATGTCACTAACAGTCCGCGTAAATGCACTAATTTGTAGTACAGTGGTAGTCATGTTGCCATGTACTGTATAAAGAAGAAGAAACTTTCATCTGAGTCGTATAAACTTTATGGAGATAGCCTTGTAGGCTATATTATGGGCAGCATTTTGATTACTTATCTTGTTTCATTTGTTGTATGTAAGTTTATGCACCAAAGTGTGTGGGTACCGCCGTTTTAAAGGTGAAGTGTCGCAAATTTTATTTATTTATTTATTTATTTATATAAAACCATGTTTTGAGTGGGCGACCCTTACAGAATAAATCTGATGTTCAGGGGCCCACTTAAATACAAATATATAAAAAGTATATAAAAATAGCCGATCTATCAATTAATGATAAAATAAATATAGATATACATTCAATTGGTTAATGGGGATCTGAAAACCTCCGTTTGAAAGAAAAACTTGGAAAACACCATTTTGTCGAAATTCATTTTGATTTCCCGTGTCAATATACTACATACAGTGGGCGAATTCTACTATTCGTTTCTTGTAAACTATTAGATAGAGTAACCCCTTTGAGACATCCCCTATTAATGGGACACCCCAAAAGGAAATTTTTCGGCCACGAAATGAAGGAAAGTATTATCTTTAACACACGGCTAACCCCTATTCAAGGGACATCCTAATGGATTTTTTTGGATGGGGGAAGGGGGTGGGGAAGGGAGGGGGTCCCAAAAGGATCCCCTTAATAGGGGTTCTATTGTAATCATCATCGTCATCACCATCATCATCATCACCACCATCATCATCATCATCATCACCATCATCATCATCATCACCATCATCATCATCACCATCATCATCATTATACTAGGCCTATAATGTGCATAAACCTTTGGTTGTCAATTATGGTTGGTGGTCAATTATGTTCACTTGAGAAACAAATAATAAAAAGAAATTGCGACCATGGAATTCGGAGAGAGTTGGAGTGTATTGGAAGAAATGGTAAATGGTAATTGGTTCCAAAACTTTGGCTATGAGCAAAGACCAGTATGGGATCTCGACCAGAGAAAACCAACCAACACATTTTTTTTCTGTTATAAAACACGCACATCGCGATACGCGCTTTGAATGTGCGGACGTACGAGTATCCGGTGCAAATGAGTTGGCGAACGCGCACAGGATGTACGCGTATCCGATATACGTACGCACTTCCGACTCACGCGCATCCGATGTATTCGTAGCCAGAGCCCAGCTTTAGTAGAGGCTAAGTAACTCACCTAAATTTTTGTCTGTAAAAACTTAATTTTGGTAAGTTGACGTTAGCTAAATTCATCATAGATCTTGACCTAATACTAATAGTCAACAATATAT